TGTAAGGTGCCAAGGCCCCTAACTAAGCAGTGTAAGGTGCCAAGGCCCCTAACTAAGCTGTGTAAGGTGCCAAGGCCCCTAACTAAGCTGTGTAAGGTGCCTAGGCCCCTACCGTTTTAAATTGCACCAGTTAATCTAATAAAACTTTAAAATAAGTTGATATAAGGTGGAAGTTGACGCTTATCATATCAAGCTGATTATTTTAGTCAATTTAAATTCTACATTCTTTGGTCATGTGAAGAAAAGGAGAAAATGAGTACAAAGTTATGGTGGGAAAGTTGGAGGGAAGGAGAGGCAGAGGGAAACCGAGAGATCAGATGCTGGACTGTTTGACATCATGGCATGGAAGATCATCTGTGTCAGAGCTGATTGAAAGTACACGAGACAGAAGGTTGTGGATAGACATGACTACCAATGCCACACGGCATGGACTTTAGGAAGAAGAAGAGATAGGCTACAAAAAGTTGAATAAACAAAAGCCTGAGATAACATACCCAAAAAAATATTTAAAAACTGAGAAATTTAAAAAAAAATGAATATTTTTAGGCCCCTACAAATTGTGAGGTCTTAAGCTCTGGCTTAGTTTGCTTGTGCCTAAATTTAGCACTGGGATTCACAGGAAAGCTTCATCAGTGATCTCAGTACCCCTTCCACAGCTAGATCCAAAGAAGGCAAAACTAACAAGTCGAGTGGCCAAAACAAGGCCGAAATGGGACCCAGACATGTAGGGATGGGCAGAACACTGGGATAGAGTCCTGGCACCAATACACAAATCACAGCTAATAAACTTAGCACAAATAAAACAGACACAAATATAACCAACACCGTTCACAGCAGGTTAAGCATGATCAGCTTTTTAATTTTTTTGATCTCCGTACTGTGCCTTCTATTATTTTTTTTCATCCACTCTGGCGCTTGATATGGCCACAATATTTCAGCTTCTGAAACCAAATTCTCTTTATAAGCCAATCTTCCTCGATGTTCAGATCTTTAAGGATGTCATTATTTCTTTACTTTTTTGTCCACAGTATTCTGAGAATCTTTCTATAGCATTTCAGCTCAAAAGCCCCTTTTTCCCTCCTTGTCTGCAAAATAGTCCACGCCTCACACCCATATAAAAAATATACCAGTAACAATTAAAAAGAACACATTTTTAAAAAGTGAAGGAATTCACACTGTAGACTAGGGCTATTCAACTGGAGGCCCAGGGATCGAATCCAGTCAGCAGTAGATTGGCAATCGGGCCCACAAATCATTGCCAGTTGCACTGTATTAATGATCTTTCAATCTTGGGGCTCAGTGACTATCCCTATTTTCCAAATTTGGGCCCCAGAGTAAACTCAATGAAGTAGCCCTGGTGTAGACAATGCTGTTGGTATGTGTTTGAAAATCAAAACTAGACCAGTAATTATTTATGCCTGTGATCTTTCATGTGTGGGTTTTTTCATGTGTGTAACTTTTTAGTATATGCCCTGAATGGGTCGCCGTGGCCGAGCGGCTAGACCCTCGCCGCGGATCGGAAGGTCGTGGGTTCACTCCCTGGCGGAGCCGGACTATTTTAAAAAATGACCTTGGCTCCCAGGTCGACCCAGCCTTGAGTGGGTACCGGGTGCAAACCCGGGAAGTAAAGGCGGCTGGTGTTATGCTGACCACATCACCCATAGACCGATTGGTCTATAAAAATATAGGTCTAGCCCGATATGCCCTATACGCCTAAAGGCGTGGAGAAGGGTTCTTTACTTTTTTTTAATATGCCTTGAATTGACATCACAAAATGTGTGAGTTCACAAAATTTTACCTGTAATATTTCATGTGTTTTTATTCTTTTATTTAACAATTTTATGCCCCACTGTGGTTTGTTTCCAGCGGTGGACGGGTAAAAATTAGTTTTTTCATGGTTTTTTGCACGGTGGAAGACATTGGGGCCTTACCACGTAATATTCCTAAAGAGAACAGTGATGAACTCTAGCCAACTCCCATTGTGGAGATGGCACTGAACTATATTCTCTTATCCTAAGACAATATGTACTGATTAGTTCTCCGGTAGTTAAAACTTACGCAGCTATTCCTGATGTATATTTTAAGAGGGGGCTTCACATAAGAACCTTAAAAGTGTGATAGAAATTACAATAAGCATGCTGTTGTCTTGTAATCCATCAGTATTGTTGTTAAAGATGTCAGGAGTGTTAAGCTCTGACATTACAGTGCAGACTAACACAGTGATTTCCATTTCTAGCATACCTTTAGAACCCACTGCCCCTCTAACAGGCATAACTCAAAAGACAGAGACCAAAAAAGACCACGTGGAAATAGACCTAATGCATGAAGTTGAGCTTCTTTATACCTTTGAAAAAATGAATTTGCCTAGTTAAGATCGTATCACTCATTCATTTTCCTAAGTCGTATAAGGCAGTCAGCCTATTTAACTGTTCTGTTCTGTCTTGATATCATGGATGGAATCAAGCCCAGTACTAAGTCATGATAGATGTAGCAGCTATCTGCTTCATGCCAGTTCAACAGGCAGGAACTGTTTCTAGACGTGTTAGCATTACATTCATGTTTCTTGAACAGATGTACTATTACAGCATTTAAGTTTGATTGATTGGAAATTATAATAAACTCAATTAAACTTTGCATATTTTTAGTGTGGTCATTATTAGCTTAAATCATATATGCTTGGCTAAAAAGTATAGATATTGCAACCAGTGAATCCTGCATAATTAATAAACAAACCAGCTAATTTTCTTGAGGCCTTAGAAGTGAAAATCCGGAAGTGGACAAACAACCAGAACTTTCTGCCAGAATTTATTGCTGGTGAACACGAAGAAGAAGCAGAAGAAATCCCCGCTAAGTCAGATTGTTTTTGGGGTCAAAAACCGACCTTGCCTCCTAGGTCAACCCATAATAAACTGAGTATCAGGTATTTCTTCTTCTTCGCATCCACCAGCTGTAAACTCCGGTGGAAAGTTCTGGTTGTCTGTCCACTTCTGGACTGCAGTCTCGTTCCAGAACCTGAGTGTTGCGTGTGCATCCGTTTGACTAACTGTATGCATAATGTTGGTTCCTTGCCTCTCAGGCACTCCGACTTTGAGGGAAGCTCCCAATTCGACGAATCTTACGACATGCTTTTGGGTAGGCAGTGGGTCTGTTCTTGTTTTCCCTATAACAGGGCCCCGGAACCCAAACGGGAAGTATCAGGTACAGTTATGAGAAGCAGTTAGCATGATGCTGACCACATTACCCACCGAGTGCCGACTGGTCTGCAAAAATTACACAGGTAACATTTTTATTTGCCATTATGACTACAATGTTTACTTTAACAGTCACTCTGGCGGCCAGGTTATTGTGCATTTCTGTATTTATTGCGACCAATCAGTAAAAGTAAACTTTTGCTTGAGTTTTGTCCCTCGTAATTTTTTTCTATTACTTCCTTTGAAATGTAATTTATTTATTTTTTAAACTATATTTCACTGTTATCTTCCTTGAAACCACATATCTATAAAAGAAATTGTTAAATATTGGTGTTAGTTTTACAGGGGATGCCTCGGGTGCACTTAGGGGCAATGACTAAAGATACGGCAGCGATGGAGGAAAAGATGAAGTAGAAGTTGGAATATTAAATACAGAGTTTTAGTTAAACCCCTATTTCCACTAGGCTTACATCTAGATCAGCGGTGGAGACCAAGATGGGGTCGAGAACGAGAGAGTAAAACTTTTTTCACAATTCCGGGCGAAGCTGGGCAATAAAATGTGTTACAAATATAAAAGCTAACAAACTGCCTATACACAAGAAATCAAATACACTGTTTAATACATAAATAGATAAAGGGAGTCAGATATAAATAACAAAGTACATCATTCACTTTATAATTAACTCCATGCCTTATAAAATCATATAAATACAATAACATTTTAATATCTGACTGTGTGAGCAATAAAAACAGGTAACATAATAACAATGTTGATTATAAAATATAATGCTTGAAACCTTTTAAAATCAAAAATATTAGTAAACTCTTGTTAACACGAATTCCAAGGGAGAGAAAAATAAGATTTTGTTTTTAAAAGAAATCTTTTGCGCATTTAACTCTTTGAGTGCCGGAGGGTTTAGTATCACAGGCCTAAGAGGTAGTGAAGAGAGATGTAAAATCGGCGCATCTTGCATTCATTGGGCTTCTGGGTAGGAATCTGTGAACGTATGATGCGTTCCTTGGGACTAAAGAGTTAAGAAAAAAAATCATTATCAAGTGCCTAGCCGACCAGCGTGTGTGATCATGCCTTTGCACAGTCTGGGATCTTCAACTGCATATATCAGTTCACGTTTTGACAACCCTCTATGCCACAACAAAGGCCTGTTGAGAATCTTGTACGCTGTCTTCCTCTGTCCCTCTTTCCGCATATCAATCCAATGGTCACCGTGTTTTCCTGTTTCCTTCTTCACATAACATGACTAAAAAATGATGACTGTCTCTTTCTGATGTTTCTGATAAAGCCTCTTTGAGCCCTTACCTCTTTTAAAACGTTTTGGTTGCTCTTTTTGGCTCTTCCATAAACTGTAAGCGTTCTTCTGTAAAACCACAATTCTGCAGCCTCAAGAAATTGTTTGCCTTGTTGATTAACTATCCAGGATTCACTGCCATATGTTAAAACATCCACATCTGTGCTAAGAGTGCAAGAATTGGAAGTAAAGATTGGCACAGTCAGGCACGAGAAGCACACCGGATGCATAAGAAGTCTTGTCAACCAAAATAGGACTGGGACTATCAACGGAGGAATGCTGATGAATATGTTGAAGAGGGAATCTGAGCACATGGACATGTCTGAAGTGCCGTTAAGATAACCAAAATCATAACTCATAAAACTGGCTGTATACAGCATACGAGAATTCTTTTCTTAACATTCAAAGGCATAGATTTATTGCATAAAATGTTCATTTTAAATCCCTACTTAAAATAATAGAAATAAATTTTATGTGGCTTGAAATGTGACCCTTATTACTGTCACCTGGCACTTGGGTCCTCCTGTCGGCTGCTAAACATCTCCCAGTACTCCATGTCTGGAGAGCTGCCGGCCAAGGGCTCGCAGTTTCTGAGAAGTTCTTGAATGTCTAGGATGTGAAATCGTGGTACTTCGTCATCTTTAGCGGAACTCTGAGATACAGAAGAATCAACGAAAGCAGCTGGTTAAAGATGATAAAAACGCTGGCTACCTGACTTCGTCCACTTCTGGACTTTGGTCTTGTCTGTTTTCGTTCTATTTCTAACTCAAGCCCGACGAATCTCAGCGCAGCGCACAAACTCTTCTGTAGCACCGGCGAGGATCCTGAAATACTTTGGGTTCATTTTTTAAACTCCAAATTTTGCCCCAGGTAGTGCTGATTTCCCCTCTCCCAAAGAATGGAAATCTGAAACTATGCTCCAACTACCGTACCATCGCATTAATAAGTCACGCTAGCAAAATCCTCTTACGAATTATCATGAAGAGGATAGAAAGGAAATTACAATATGAGCTACATGAAGCACAAGCGGGTTTCGGACAAGGTAGAGGAACTAGGGATCACATCTTTAATATAAGAATATTTTTTTTTTTAAATGTTTAGAATACAACATAGATCTTCATGCTTGTTTTATTGATTATAGCAAGGCATTTGATGGTGTCCAACATCAGAAACTGTGGACTTTTATGAGAAGTATGGGGTTTCCATTGCTTTTGGCACATTTAATTGAAAATCTTTATCATGAACAACAAGTAGCTTTCAGAGCAGCTGATAAAACTTCGGACTGGTTCGAGGTGCAAAATGGAGTGAGGCAGGGGTGCATTATCTCATCATACCTATTCAATATATACGCAGAAAATATAAAGAGAAATGTCAAAAATGACCAGATTTGTGGCAGTTATGATCCGCTCAAAATTAGTGGCAACCCTATTCCGGAACTCCGCTACGCAGATGACACAGTCCTCCTTTCGAACAGCGTAAAGGGAATAGAAAATTTAATATTGTTTGTCCAAAAGCACAGTGAAGATCAAAATCTGTTCTTGAATTTAAAGAAAACGAAAATAATGTCCACAGATAAAACTGGCTGTCACCCAAAAATAACCATTAATGATGAAGAAATTGAAAATGTCACAAACTTTGAATATTTAGGCTCTATAATAAACAACAATGGAGACTGTTTGACAGAAATTAAAAGGAGGATGGCCATAGCAATGCAAAGATTGAACAGCTAAAAGTCTTTGGTTAAGCACCAGCAAGGAGATCAAAATTAGAATTTTGAGAGCATGTATCTTCCCTTAGCAACATACGGATGTGAGTCGTGGACTATCTCCCAGTTCTTAAGAAGGAGAATAGGGGCTTTTAAGCTGAAATGCTATAGAAAGATTCTCAGAATATCTTGGACAAAGAAGAGGAAAAATAATGACATCTTGAAAGATCTAAACATCAAGAAAGATTGGCTAATAAACAGCATCCTCTCTCGGAAGCTGGAAAAATTTTGGTCATGAAGAACCCATTAGGAAAGATAATTTGTTGTACCTCCTTGCTCATCGTCCTAACGTGACCCTGGACAGAACCGGCACCTCACCCGCGTCTTCTGTACAGAAATACTGGAGAAGCCAGCGGCTCTAATTACCCCTAGCGGGTACTGATGCTGTTGCTTGTGGCACCCTGGCTGAATGAAATAAGACAAGAATGATGTGTGCCGGCGGAAGGAGGGAGCCGGTGTTTGTTTTATAGTGTGCAAGTTCTGAGAGAGAGAGAGAGAGAGAGAGAGAGAGAGAGAGACCGGCAGAGAGAGAAACCGACAGAGAGAGAGAGAGAGAGAGAGAGAGACCAGAGAAACCGGCAGAGAGACACGGGTACAAATACAGACAGAGCAACACACAAACAAAAACACACACGGCGAGTGAGAAATAGACTTCGTCTCCTTCAAATTCACTGGCTATGAGTTCTGGTTGCTCGTCCACCTCTGGACTTCAATCTTGTTCCTGAACACGTTGCGCGCACATCCGCTTTACATAACTGACCTATCTGTATACATACGTCTGGTCCCTTGCCTCTCAGGCAGATGCACTAGGACCTCGAAGTGAGCCCCAAATTAGTCGACTCTTATGACGTTTCTTGAGGAGTGTGTTGTGCAGGCGATAATGAGATGCGTATGTTGAGGAATCATCATCATCAGGTGCCTTGCCGACTGGCGTGGGCGATCATGCCTCTCCATAATCCACGATCTCCTGCAGCATGTATCAGTTCGTGTGCCGACACACCTCCATGCCATGCAACAAGACTGTCAAGCATCCTCTCTCGTTGCCTTCGTCTATTCCACAGACCTTTTCAGTGGTCACAACATGTTCTATTTTCCCTCTTCTCATAACATGGCAGAAAAATGATGACTGTCTCCTTCTGATGTCTGTGATAAGTTGTCTTCGGGCTCCCGCCTCTTTCAAAACCTCTTGGTTGCTCTTTTTGGCTGACCAAGGTATTCTAAGCATTCTTCTGTAAAACCACATCTCTGAGGCCTCAAGAAATTGTTTGGCCTGCCTACCGATTGTCCAGGATTCACATCCATATGTTAAAACTGGATGTATGTAGCAAGCAAGAATTCTTTTTCTAACTCTCAATAACAAGGATCTATTGCACAAGATGTTTTTTCATTTTATAAAATGCAGTTTTTGCCTGTCCTATTCTATTTCTTATCTCAGTTATGCATCTTCCATCTTATGTTATCCATGTGCCCAGATACTTAAATTTCTGTACTTGTCCTACAATAACACCATCGACTTTTATTACACATTTAGGAATAATTCGTTTCTTTGATATCACCATTACTTCTGTCTTCCCATTATTCAAACTGAGGCCCATTCTTCCACTAACACCACAATGTTTATCATTTCCTGAAGTTTTTTCTGACTTGTCGCTATCAAGACTGTGTCTTGTAAATTGTTTATAATGTGCCCACCAACCACAATTCCGGGCATATCAATTACATATCTCATTATATATTCACTGTATATTGAAAACAAATCAGGTGATAGTACACATCCTTGTCGTACGCCCCTCTTTATGCTTTGAAATATACCTAAACAGTTGTTAATTCTTACAGCTGCTGTTTGCTGCCAGTACATATTATTTATTATTCGTAGATCTTCTCCATCAATGTTTAATTTTTCTAACAATTTGATTACTTCTTCATGCTTCACACAGTTAAATGCTTTTGTAAAATCTATGATATATAAGTACAAATCAGTCTTTACTTCTATAGCTCTTTCTGACAATGTCCTTAGGATGAATATGGCATTGTTTGTACCTTTTCCTTCTACAAATCCACATTGTTCATCGCTGATTTCTGGTTTAATTTTGTTTCTTATTCTTCTCATAATTATTCTCAGTAAAATCGTAGTCATGTGACTCATAAGACTTATTGTGCGATGGTCTTCACATTTTAAAGTGCATGGTTTCTTTGACAGAGCTATAAATATGGATTTTAAAAGGTCATTTGGAATATACCCACTATTATAAATATCATTTAAAAGTTTAGTTATTATTTCAGTTCCAAAATTTCCCAGTGCTTCGATTTCTTCCAGTGATATGTTGTCTGGCCCGGATGCTTTTCCCTTCTTCATATGATGTATTGCATCCTCGACTTCTGCAGTCATTATTGGTGGACCATCAGTTCTGCAGTTCTACATCTGGTCTATTTTCATCATACAATTCCCCTATGTACTCTGTCCATCTGCTAATTATATTATTATGTCCCATTAATAAGTCACCATCTTTGGATTTTAAACATCCAGTGCTGTTAAGTGTCATCTTTCCTGTTAACATATTTATCTGTTGACGAATGCGTAGGTTAAATAAAAATCCTTCCAACAGAAGAAACTACTTAAGTTACAGTCGAGGATTCGACCCTGGGTCTCTTCAATGAGAATATGAGACCCAGCGTTCTAACAGCTCAACCACTGTATAAATCACCAAGAATTGGAGACCAAAAAAAAAAAGATCAATACCACATCCCTGAACCGAAGTATCTATTTAATGTTCCCACGCTGTCCACTGGTGGCATTATGTGTGTGTCTGAATGTAGGTAGCTAGGTATGTAGGTAAGTATGTATGCATGTATGTATGTATGTATGTATGTATGTATGTATGTATGTATGCACATATGTATGCATGTATGTACGTATGTATGTGGTTGTAACTGTAATGGTGCCTGATGTGTGACATGCTTTCCTTCAGAGATGGCGTTTTTATTTTACTGCCACCTTTAATTTTATCAACTATCAATTTTAGGCTCGCGCGACCCGGGAGCCATTGTCATTCCCCCCCCCCCCTCCGCCAGGTGTGAATTCGGGCTATGTAGGCGTGTTTGGCAATGAATCACCAGATAGGCTGGCGGTTCTGGCCCCATCTGAGGTTGTATGGCATTCGCACAATGCAGAGGAGGAGATTTCTCGCCCGTTGGAGGAGGTAATCAGTAAAACGGAATATACTGAAAACACGCACCTGGAGAGAATGATGCAGCAGAAAATGTATACGGGTTGGGGGTGCCATTCGAGAGGGGGTAAGGGGGGCAAGACGAGTAATTAACCATATGACAATGAGTACCGTCAGTATGAAGACCCTTCGCTAGCCGCTGAGAAGAAAGACCGGACTTATATGGGCTGGATGATGTGATGTCGACTCTATACCTAGAGAAACCAGATGAAATAGGTATGGATTGGAGCCCAATACTTTCAGACCGGCAGACGAATGTTCAATGACTATGCTACAATGGGTCCCACGAAATTACATAATTTGAAATATACCTAAACAGTTGTTAATTCTTACAGCTGCTGTTTGCTGCCAGTACATATTATTTATTATTCGTAGATCTTCTCCATCAATGTTTAATTTTTCTAACAATTTGATTACTTCTTCATGCTTCACACAGTTAAATGCTTTTGTAAAATCTATGATATATAAGTACAAATCAGTCTTTACTTCTATAGCTCTTTCTGACAATGTCCTTAGGATGTATATGGCATTGTTTGTACCTTTTCCTTCTACAAATCCACATTGTTCATCGCTGATTTCTGGTTTAATTTTGTTTCTTATTCTTCTCATAATTATTCTCAGTAAAATCGTAGTCATGTGACTCATAAGACTTATTGTGCG